AAGTCACTGAACCATACATTGACTCTAAGTTTCTTGAAATAGGAACCAATCTTGCAAGTTTTTTCACATATTTAAAGCTAGAAGTCATGCATGAGAAAGGGTCAAAAGTCGAAATGGCAACAATTATTCACTGTAAAGATTTTTCTGAACTGTTGGAGCACATCTTTTTAGAAAGAAAAATATTTCCTGATCACATTGTCAAGCTTGAAATAGATGGAGGAGCTGGATTTCTAAAATTTTCTCTTGGGGTTGTAGGAACATTACAACACTGCAAAGTTCGTTCTCCACCAAGCAAACGACTCCTGACAGTAAAGAGCTCCAAAGATAGTGGTTGCAATCAGCAACTTATTGTTGTTGTCTCTGAAGGAATGTCTGAAAACTATTCTAACCTCAAGAATGTTTTCTCCTTGATCAAAGCTGACTCAAAGAATTTTGTGGTATCTTGTGATTTGAAAGTTGCCAATATTCTATGTGGTCTTCAATCTCACGCTTCCATGCATCCATGCACATGGTGCACAGCTCCTTTAACTAACCTTGCTGAATGTGGAGACCTACGAACTTTTGGTTCCTTCAAAGCCTCTTTTCAAGCATTTGCTTCTGCTGGCAGTGATATAAAAATGCCAAGAAATATGGGAATGTCATCCATAAACCTACATGCAGATGACACTAGTCTGGTTTTGGAAACTATCCCTCCTATGGAGCTTCATTTTTTGCTTGGAGTTGTCAACCACCTCTGCAAAATTCTCAAAACAGTCTGGCCTCCAACTGATGAGTGGGCAACTGCTCTTCATATTAATCTTCAGCCTTACCATGAAAGTATTTTCATTGGCAATGATTGCCGCAAGCTTCTCAAAAATGTTGATCTTCTTCAACAGTTGGTCGAAGAGAAGGCAGCAGTTCATATTTTTCCACTTATTGATGCTCTGAGAAAGTTTGATGCTGTGGTTATTGCCTGCTTTGGAAACGAACTGCAGCATGACTATGCACAAAAAATTGAGCTTTTCAAGCAATCGTTCTTGGCACTACCAACAGGAGGTGTAACTCCAAAAGTTCATGCTGTGTTTTTTCACATCAAGGATTTCATCTCAAGAAAAAATACTTCTTTGGGTATTTGCAGTGAGAAAACCAATGAAGCTGTGCACCATCAATTTCAAACTCATTGGCAAAGGTACAAGCGCCAAAAGACACACCCAGAATATGAGTCTCAACTTCAAAAGTGTGTGACTGATTTTAACAGCAAGCACTTGTAAAAGAATCTGTAAACATAATTTTTATTCAGAATGTATATTTAAATTAAGTCTTGACTGTTGCTTGAAGAGTTTTATAATTATATGTGCTGTAGAAATGTCAAAAATTGGAATGCTGTCATTTACACTATTGATGTTGATAGTAATAAAATTAAATGTTGAATTATTTTCTTGGATATAATGTTTTGATTTCAACTTTTACATTTTTGTGATCACAGAGTCAAGGGCTTTCAAACCCCACATCCTGTTTCTCTGGGTCAGCTAAAAGAGGTTATCTTGAATTTTTGAGAGGAGTGTGTAATTACACAATAAAGTATCTAGATTCTGCAAGCCTAGTACCATAAGCATATTTGTAGTGCTTAAGTACTTGTGGTACCCAAAAAATATTTTAGTACATTTCTTGTAACGAGAATCTAGCTTTAAGATAGTATTTGCACTAAAATTATTCCGAAGAGTCGTAAAAACTGAAGTAGTCTTAAATACCTGCACTTTTAATCATTAAAAGTTTGTTTGATATAAATCAAGAGATTTAATGTCTTTATACACTTACAAACATATTAATCAGACGAATCAAGAAATGCTCAATTAAGGTGCATTAAAATTTAATGCACCTTACTTGAGCATTTCTTGATTCGTCTGATTAATATATCATTTTCAGTTGATGTAACATTGTGAATGAAACAGAGTGATTTAAAAATTATTCTATTTTTTACACTGATCCAACCAAGCAATTTCAATATTTCTGTTTTATAAGTTGACACGTCATATTTTAATATAATTGTCATTGCTTTGTTTTGAAGTTTTTCTTGGATATTTAAGTTATTAATGTTGACATAAAGAAAAATAGAAGCACAGTATTTATAGTGGGTAGCAACTTTAGTTTGAAAGATTATCTTTTTGGTCCATTGAGTTAAATATTTGCTTATTCTACCAAGATATCCAGTTTTCTTTGCAATTTTTTTGGAGATATGTTTGATATGTTCTGTCAAATTAAGTTGGTAATCAATAATATTCCCTAGATATTTCACGCTATCACTAAACTCAATGACTACATTATCCAATATAACTTTTATGTTATTTTTATGATTTGTTAAGCTATTTTTTCTTTTTTTCGAAAGTATTTAATATAAGTTTATTATTACTAAACCATTTACAAAATATTTTTAAATCTTGGTTAAATTTAAAAATTTAAATATTAAAAATAGTTTCTTTGAAGTTTATACCCTCAGTGCAAACCAATGTTTCATCAGCAAACAAATTTACAAAAGAAAACTCAATTTTTGATGCAATATTGTTCATGTAAATCATTATCAAAAGAGGTCCAAGTACACTACCCTATATCACAAACCAGTTGGCCAGATTCTTCACCTTTTATTTTGACTACTTGAGTTCTCAATGAAAGATAGTATGAAATCCAATTGAGAACTGTACCTTTAACTTTATAACCTTGTTAACTTTTGTATGAGAATCTTTCTATTTACTGTTTCAAATGCCCTTTTAAGATTAAGCATTACTGTTTTAACAAATTTATTGTTATTCAAAGATGTTCTCCATTTAGAAAGACGTAGTTGAATAGCTGATTCAGTAAATCTATTTTTTCTGAAACCAAATTGATTATTATAAAAAAATATTATTACTTTCTAAATAACTGCTTGTGAACAGCAATTTCTAATATTTTTTCATTAGTAGGAGGCATATTAATTGGTCTTAAGTCTTGTGGTAACTTTGGCAACTTTATTTTTGGAATTGGAATGAATGTTGATTTTTTCCATTTGGAAGGAACTTTCACAGTTTTTAATGATAAATTAAAAATTTTTAATAAAATACTTAAAAATGATGAGTATAATTTTTTTAATATAGTAACATTTAAGTCCTCACACATTGAATTCTTGTTTTGCAATTGTTTTAGTATATCAAATTTGGTATAAATTAGCCATTACTTCAATACCAATTTCTATTTTCATATTTTTAAATTCAACTAAAGTGTTTTTATTTAATAAAGAATAATCAACTTTTTTACTATTGTTGAGAACACTATTGTTTGCTTTTTTAGTATAAAAATTGTCTTTTTTCTTTGATAAAATATTTACAAGTAATCATTTCATGATCAGAAAGTTTTTCTTTTTTGTTAGTTTCGATAAGCGTACAATTTGAAATTGCTCTCAATACAAATACTTGATTTTTCAGATATTTTTGTTGGTGTACTGTTGAAAATATATATTTGATTATTTTTGATAGATTGCTTTAGTGCTATAGAGTGTTTGTCATTTGAAAGTATATTTATGCTAAAGTCACCAAGAATGATAATACGTTTTAAACGAATTGTAGTAATCCAAGTATTTCAAGAAGATGGTTTTGTTCTCCTGTGGAGATTTATACAAAACACTAAAATGAAGCTTAATTTTGTTAATGACTAATTCAGTAGATAATAACCAATGACACTTATCTTTGACAATAGATTTAGGATCAGACTTTACTTTTATATCATTTTTATAATATAATATACCATGTACAACCACCTGTATGAGCACTTGATTGTTCTAAATTTATAAAAGAATAGCTCTTTTTCTCAAAAATTTCAAGCTCTTTTTCAAAGATTAAGAATGTTAAGTGGGTTTTAGTTAGTCCAAGTATATGAGGTTTAAATTTTTGTACATGTAGTGTAACTCTGTCAAGTTTATTTATGAGACCATTTATATTTGCATATGCAATTTTAATGTATTTTACTATCATGATTGCTAGTTGTCATACTTTATTTTTGCTCTATTTTTAATGTCATTAAATACTGGAAATTTTTTATAGAAAGCACAATGTTGAGGATTTATCATTAAATTGAATTTTTTGTTTTTGTTAAGGCAATTAACACACCAATTACTTTTTATTACTTTTTTTTATTACTTTCAGACTCCCAGCCAATTGCTAATCTACCATTTTTCTTATTTCTTATGTCTAAAATCTTATCATTCAAATTATTTAGAGCTATTATATTTTTTGCTAATATCTCATTGAATACTTCATCATGTTTGGTCTTAAAATCTTAAATTCAATCTTTTTCATTTTTTCAGTGTTACCTTTTTCAACTCAGACATTTACACCTAATTTAACTTTAATTTTCTGATATTGTTTTATTATCTTTTGATTTTTCATCATTGCACCGTATAGAGGTTGGAGTCCTGAAGTCTCTTGCTGCCATTATACATAAGGATCTGGGTTTAAAATTGGTATTTATACTCTATACCTTAGGATTTTTTTTTCTAAAATAGCCAATAAGTCTTTTAACATTTTGGAGTCTCGTGGATGCTGAAGACCATTAACTAATCTTATTTTATGACTTTGATTAGAGATTTTGCAAATTAAAATTTGCTTATGGAACTCCCCATCCCTAGTAAATTTATTTTGTAACTAAGATAAAAATAAATCTTATCGGAATTTTTGATTAATCAATTGTTAATCATATCACCTGCCCATATTCAGGGTGCCTATGATCATATATTGTAAAATTTTTATTAATTTGTTTTTTTATTAAAAAAAGCATGAATCATGATTTATTAACCATACTTATTTAGCAGAAGTTTTTAATTAGTAAATTTTGTGTTAGCTGTTTATTATATCAAATTATATATATAAAAAAAACCTTTAGAAACCTTTTCTTCAAAAACATTTTAAGGTTTAGTTTTTTGAACATGAAATATAAATTCAGTTTTCTCACATTGGAATACTAAATAAATATAGTTGTTTGTTTTTATTTTTAAGTTCAAATGCTGAATGGAGAACTACTTTGGACTTTGGCTTGTTTTTATGTTGTCATTTTTAAATGGTAAGCATTTATGGTTGTAAAATGTATCATTTTCTATCTGTTGATCCCTGCAGTACCTTCACTTCTAATTTCCTCTGTAATAAAATAGAAGATACCACTTTTAGGGAAATATTTTCCCAAATTATTTAAAGATAACATATATATTATTAAGTTTAATAATGCATTAACAACTTTCTTCAAAATTGCTTTGTTTATTTGTATGGTTTTAAATATTTAGTTTATTTGTATGGTTTGTCTCTTTTCAATTTAGTTAATATTTGAACTTATTTAATTTAATCCTAATTTTTAAAATAATAATTTAATATTTTAAATGAACCATGTGTTGCTTATTATTGATTGTGGTCTTTAAAATATTTAGTTGCAATAAGTCAATGAAATTTCTGTAATAAAATGAAAGTGATATATATTTTTTATGCATGATAAATTGAAAACTGAATTTTATGGTTTTGTATTTGCTGTGGCACTAAATAGGGTTTTGTATTGGCTGTGGCACTAAATATGGTTTTGTATTGGCTGTGGCACTAAATATGGTTTTGTATTGGCTGTGGCACTAAATATGGTTTTGTATTGGCTGTGGCACTAAATATGGTTTTGTATCGGCTGTGGCACTAAATATGGATTTATATTGGTTGTGGCACTAAATATGGTTTTGTATCGGCTGTGGCACTAAATATGGTTTTGTATTGGCTGTGGCACTAAATATGGTTTTGTATTGGCTGTGGCACTAAATATGGTTTTGTATCGGCTGTGGCACTAAATATGGTTTTGTATTGGCTGTGGCACTAAATATGGTTTTGTATCGGCTGTGGCACTAAATATGGTTTTGTATTGGCTGTGGCACTAAATATGGTTTTGTATTGGCTGTGGCACTAAATATGGTTTTGTATTGACTGTGGCACTAAATATAAAAGCAAAAATTAAAACATTAGATTATTGGAGTAATGGTATAAGTAAGTATAACTAAGTATAAGTAAGTATAAGTAAGTATAACTAAGTATAAGTAAGTATAAGTAAGTATAACTAAGTATAAGTAAGTATATGTAAGTATAAGTAAGCTAAGTAGTGTAAGTATCAAATACAGTTTGATATAAAACTAAATTGAAAATTTTTTAAAATTTATGATTGTTTTGCTGGAATAAACCAGTACTGTGAACCCATAGTTGTTTTCAAAATTACCCTGTAGACAATTTTAAGGTGACCAGATGCTGTCTAATATTTTTACATTTGTTATCTTGTTCATTTAGGACATATTTGGGATGAATTGTCGCAGGTAGTTGACCATTCCTAAGAGCCGTTGCAAATCTGCTTGACATGCAGGCAATGGGTATGCAGATAAGGCTTTAGTTTTTTCAGGATCAACTCTTATGCCTTCATGGCTGATTATGTTGCCAAGATACTTGACCTCAGATACTCGAAATTGTATTTTTTTTAGGTTGAATTTGATGTTTCTTTCACAAGCTCGTTGTAGAATTTGTTGGAAAATTTTATCATGCTCTGTATCTGTTTTAGCTGCAATAATCAAGTCATCGTGGATAGCCAGAACATTAGGGATATCACCGAAATTAAGTTCAATCATCTCTTGTGCAGCATCCGATGCGCATGATATGCCAAATGGCATGCGGTTGAATTTGTATCGGCCATAAGGAGTGTTAAATGTGCATAGCTCTGAGGAAGGTTCATCTAGTTTTATATGCCAATAGCAATCAGCCATGTCTATAACAGTGAAAACTTTGTTGCCGCAAAGTTTGCTAGAGATTTCTTCTGTAGATGGAGTGGTTTTGTATTGTCTTAGAACAGACTTGTTTAGTTCTTTCGGATCAATGCATAATCTTAAGGATCCATCTTTTTTCTCTACGATGACCATTGAGTGTACCCAAGGTGTTGGTTTAGAAATTTTTGAGATAACTGTGGCTTTTACTAGACGATCAAGTGTGCTTTTAAGTTTAGGTAGGACAGTCATTGGTACTTTCCTTGGTGCATGAATGACTGGGATTGCATCTCTAGCAAGTGCGATATGATAGTTTCCTTTAACTAAACCAAGGCCGGTAAAAACATCACTATAATGTTTTAAGATGTTAGTTTTATCTATTTCAACATTGTTAATGTTTAGTATTACAAGAGATTTGCAAGAACTTAGACCAAGAAGTGGTTTTACGTCAGACAGAGATACAACAAAAAAACTGACACACTTGTGAAATGTTATTCTTTTTTATAGTTAGGTTGCATATTCCTAGTACAGGAATATTGTTTCCACCATATGATTTTAGTTGAGTTATTGTTTTTTTGAGAGGAGGTCTTCCAGGAATAGAGTTGTAGACATTGTATGGAATAACGTTACATTGGGCTCCAGTATCTAATTTAAATGTTATATTTTTGTTGTTGACTGTAATATTTGTTGTTAAATCGTCAGGACATTCCATTGATGCTGCAACATGATGAATATATAACTCTGCAACGTTAAGGTTGACTTCCTTTTGATCAACTTGGTCTACACGATTAGTATTAAAGCGGTTAGTTTTGGATCTGCATACTTTAGCAAAATGGTTTAGTTTTCCACATGCTGTGCACTTTAGGCCATATGCTGGGCAAAACGAGGTAGTATGTTGTGATCCACAGTAGTAGCAAGATTTTTGTGAAGGTCTTTCAATCTTTAGGGAGTTGAAATTAAGTCTGTTTCCATGTTTATTTATAGAATCTGCCTGGATTGTATTTTCGAGGGCTTTTAATTGTGTTTTTGATGTTTCATATGCTTTCATGAAACTGATTGTTTTCTCTAGAGTAAGCTCAGTGTCTCTAAGTAGTCGTTCTCTGGCAGCTTTAGAGTCGATTCCACAGACCACTCTGTCACGTATTAGGCTTTCTTCGAGGGTTCCAAACTCGCACGTTTTAGCTTTATTTCGTAAATCGATTAAGAAGTCAGTAAATAGTCTGCTGTCTTGCATACATGTATTGAATAAATAACGTTCATAAGTTATGTTTTTTTTGGGGCTGAAATAACATTCAAACTTTTGAACTAAAGGTGCTAATTTATCGTTTTCTTCAATAGTGAAAACAAATGTATCATATACTCTTAAAGCGTCTTCGCCAACCATATGAAGGAAAGTGGCACATTGGATATCTTCATTCTTGTCATTGACTCCTCAAGCTATTTTATAAAGGTTCCATCTTTGTTTCCATTTTCGCCAGTTTTCTGAAACATTGCCATTTGAATTCATGGCCTCTAATGGTCTAAGTTGTTCCATTTTATTTAAAACACAGGTTTACTTCTGGTACCATGTAATATTCTGAGGATGATGTTATACTAAGAACTAAATACAACAAAGTTTAAAGCGTGCAAACCGCCATATTTATTTCAAGTAATAATAATAACACGAGGCACGTGTGTATTATGCCGAACACGGATATTACAATCAGTTCTTTGGAATTCGCTTCATCTTGCTTTCCTGATTCATATAATTTGCAATCTTTTAAGTCGTCTGTCAATCGTTATCTTGCTCTACAATCAGGGGTGTGGAGTTGTAAAAAAAAAGTAACGACTCCGACTCCAGTTGTTGAAATTTTTTGAGTACGACTCCGACTCTGACTCTGAATCCAACTCCGACTCCTACTCTAACTCTAAAGCAAAATTTTTGAAAAATTCTTTGAATTCTTTAAAAAATATTGCCCGGTAAGTTGAAATTTTTTTTTTGACAAATTTATGAAACATTCTTTGATGTTTAGTATGGTTAATTGAATGTTTTGTACATGCATGTGCAATACCAAGAAATTTTACTATCGGAGTCGGAGTCGTGCTATATTTTTTTTCAACTCCGGTAAAATTGTTGCAACTCCGCGACTTCGACTCCACAGCCCTGTCTACAATCTTCATCTTTTCCCTTCCAGTAACTTCCAACACTAATTAGTGGTTGCTTGCAGCCTTGTTGGAAGTGAAGATGTTTGAAAAAAAAAAAAAAAAAACAGACTGTGGATGGGAGGCTATTTTCAAGCTTTAAAATGGTGTTATTCCTCATGAGTTTTAAAGGCATTTCCACAAAACTTCCATATTTCCATTTTCCTCTTGGATACCAGTAACACTAAGGCACACCATGGCAGGAAGGACTGATCTGGTGTCACTAATAAAACCTCAATAAGTGTATATGTAACACTGTACTTTAAATCAGGCCTTACCAAATATTTTGCAACTGCTCTTGACAAAATGTTTGCTCTTAAGTAACTTTTGCTCTAGCTCTTTTTCTGAAGCTGTCTAAGGCTAGAGTTAGACCTGGTATCTTTGTAGGGCCATATATCTAGAAGATTTTGGCGTATTTATGTAGAACCGCATATCTAGAAGTTTGTAGGACCACATATCTAGAACTTTGTAGGACCACATATCTAGAAGTATTTAGCGTGTTGGCTCCTGAACAGAGTGGAACTTCAAACAGCTTCTTTGCAGTTGTTCATGGCTTAAAAAAGTTTATTTTTAATATTATTGTTGTTTTAGCGAGCAATGGCTGTGATGATGGTTGGTTAGAGTATGGAAACTATTGCTATTTTTTCCAAAATAAAACTTTGCAAGGAAAAAACTGGAGAGATGCCTTTTTATCATGTCAAGTTATGGGTGCATATTTATTGAGTATTGAGGATCAAGCAGAAAATTTTTTTATTAAAAACATTCTTAAAGATGATAGCATGCAAAAAGATAGTTACTGGATTGGTAAGATAATTATTTAAAAGTTACTGAATTAGTAAGATAATTATTTTAAATGTATTTTTTATTTTATGTTTTGACTTAAATAAGTTATACATATGCTATATATGTTTTAAAATAAAACAAGCTTGTATGCATACGTAATTTATGTTGTTAAATTTATTTATAAAAGGATTAAATGATGCTTGCAATAATAGAGAGTTTAAGTGGTCAGATAACACAAAACCACAGTTTTTAAATTGGTTACCG